GAGCACCTGGGTGGCTCAGTTGGTTAAGCATCTGACACTTGATTTTGGCTCAGGTCATGATCTCACGAGTTTGTGGGCTCAAACCCCACGTTGGGCTCTGCGCTGACAGTGTGGAGCCTGCTTGGGATTCTCTCTGTGTCCCTCCCTCATGCATGTGTGCTCTTTCTGCCTCTCTCAAAATAAATAAACTTTTTTTTAAGCATTTTTTCCTAAGAGTCTTTTAGAGGCTCTCAGGGGACACCATTGCATGCTTAACCAGTAGCACCTGAAGAACTCTCCTTGGGCCATCCTTACAAGCCTCCCCAAATACCTCAAACAAGGCCTCTGCTGAGGGCCTGGCTCCAGCGTTTGCCAAAATCTCTGTGACCCACCTCCTGCGGTACAGATATATATGCATAAAGGACAGCCATGCATCTTGACGGAGCTGACAACAAAAAAGCAGCAGCAGCAATGACAGCGATGCCTCATTCATACCTGAAAATGAAGAAGCAACCTTAAAATGCCCGTTTTCTTTTTTCAGGCAATCCAGATCCTGATTGGATTGATGCACATTGGTTTCAGAATTGTTTTAGGTTCAATGGACGCCATTTATGGACTAGTTTTTGCATTTCTTTCCTTTGCTTTTATTAGCGGATATGCGATCCGGGGTGGCATCTCTGTGAGTAGGCTGCTAGAACACCTCTCCTTCTCAGTCTATCAGATACCGCTGTCCCGAGCTTATGCATAGCCCATTTTTTTATAAAAGCCCCACATCTGATCCACTGTAAAAGTGAGATATAGCAGCTCTGGTTGAGTATTTAAAAAAGAAGAGCTTTTCTTCTCCATTTTAACCTGCAGTTTAAACTCATACCCTCAAGTTTACACTGATCAAGTAACCAACAAGCCAAAGTTTTAGTTCCTGATTATGTTTTAGATGGAAATGTATGTACTGGGTGGAGAGAGGCAAAAGGAGGTGATCGGGAACATGATTAAAACACGACCATGACAAGAGACAAGAGACGGAGACAAGAGACGGAGCTGTGAGCTCAGAAGTCATCACACATGGTAAGCTCACAAGAGAATGAGTTCTTTACATGTGAGAAACTAAGGAGAGAAAAAAAGGGAGAAGTCCAAAGGAAACAATCTCGGAAAGTTACTCCAGAAAATGGAGAAGTATGAGAGGAACTTTCAACAGGGAAACTAGATGAACATAAAGAGACCAATCTTTCCTACTAAAAGAGAAGCTCCCACGACCAAAGAACCCATGTTTCACAAATAAATGTGTCTGTTTCTACAGTTCATTGCTACCAGTGCTCTCTATATACTGGCATCCAAGCAGTTTTCCCCTAGTCTGGTAAGTCAGAATGTTTCTACTTTTTAAACTCTTTGAAAGATTCATTTAGGGGCGCCTGGGTGGCGCAGTCGGTTAAGCGTCCGACTTCAGCCAGGTCACGATCTCGCAGTCCGTGAGTTCGAGCCCCGCGTCAGGCTCTGGGCTGATGGCTCAGAGCCTGGAGCCTGTTTCCGATTCTGTGTCTCCCTCTCTCTCTGCCCCTCCCCCGTTCATGCTCTGTCTCTCTCTGTCCCAAAAATAAATAAAAACGTTGAAAAAAAAAAAGAAAGATTCATTTAATTGATCTGGAGAGGAAAATTGAGAAAGTGGATTCAGAAAATGCAAAGGGGAGCACTCTTTCCCCCAAAAGTATTTCTACCGGTTGCCTCCATGGTATGTGTGCCCCAGCACGGTCCACACAATTTGCCACTCAGAAATGGCAGAGCCCCATGTCCTGACTGTCTAACTCCCAAGAGCGGAAACTGGTATACGTAAGGTTTTTAGCTTTATCCTAGGGCTCCCTGGTTCCACCAGGTCACACTGCATTAGGGGAACTCCAAAGCAGAATATAGGAGCCAGGAAATACCCACCCGCCACTTTGGTATCAAAGACTCTCTTATTCATTTGCCACTTCTCAGTTCTGCCTTGCCTTGTATTTTTATTTTTTATTTGCACACAGCCTATTTTTACTCAGATGTGACTTTTGTTTTACAGTTTGTTAAGTCATCACTGAAAGCACCAATTGGGTACAGAAAAAGTTTATGAAACCAATCACTGAGACAGGTCTTTCAACTCTCTTGGCCACAGCTCCCCACCTTTGGCAATTTCCCGGTCTACTTTTGAAACAGGAGCAGGAACGTGATGTGCCGAGACATGGTGACAACCAGAGCAGAGGTGGTTTCAGGATTGTATTTAATCCGGCGCAGGAGGAAAGAATGGAAAAATGGGAACACAGAGTCCTGCTGCTCAAGTTCTCCTAGACCAGACACTAAACTAGACACTAAACGCTAGACTAGAGACTGGACTAGGGACTAGGCTAGACTAAACGAAACTAAAATCAGTCTAACCTCGATTAACCACTCCTGTCGTCATCTAAAAAACAAAATAAAGCACCCTTTCTCTGCATCATTTATGGATCCTTCCCTCTAACTGAGGTTGTCCAGGCACAGAATCTGTCCATTTGGAGAAGACAGCTACTACAATGGTACCTGAAGCAATTTTTCCAGCAGCATTTTAGAGGCCCGTGGGGAGACCCTAAGGCATGCCAAAGCTCTTATGAATTCTAAAGAACTAACTCAGCCACTGCTAGCAAGTTGGCTGAAGACTTGGCTTCCCAATTATCCTGCTGCGTGTCGAAATCTTCTTGTAGAAACTGAAGAAAATTTTGTACTCTACCCATACATCTCTACCCACAAAAGCCTAATGACTTCCTCATTCTAAACCTGGGGTTTTTTTTATCGAGTCCCTAGAACGACTTCAGGGTTTTCGTCAATTTCTAAATTTATCAGCAAACATGTCTTTGCAGACACGCTTTTCCATCTATGTAACACTGGATGCTTTGTTGTACTACCTTGTATGGTGGTTTTAGGAGTTCCATGAGACAATGTACGTAAATAATTTCACACAATGCGTGCCACAGAAAAATGCTCATTGAAGCTTTATTTGTCGTTTTAGTATTTTAAACCAGGAACACACTTGTTGTGTGTGAGGCTTTAGACAAACGCGATGGATGAGCTTCTGCTCTGTATTATGTACCTTTCTCTACAGATACTAGAAGTACGCTACCTTCACTCTGCATACAGCACAGTTTTCAAGAAAACTCAGAGAGGCAGGAAAAACAAAAGTCATTTCGACTTCAAAATTTGTTTGAAGATTTCAAGGATTGAGAGCCATTATATTTAACTGTTCTTATTTCATTTTGCTTCGTTTTTCTCCTAGGTGTGGTTTCTTTTTCCTGTCACCTCCATTAGATTAGAGGCAGCCTAGGCATGAAAATGGTCAGTGCGATCTTTGTCTCCACTGGAGTGACTCTGCTGCTGCTGGATGCGGGTATGAATGGGATCCTCAGCCAAGACTGCTGGGCAATCGTAAGTATCCCATCATCCACCACACGTTCTCCTCTCTGGCCACTCTCACACGTATCTCTCATGACTGTATAGCAGCCCCACTACTACGTCACAGGATCACTAGGACTGTAGAATAAAGTGGAAGAGCCACTTCTGCAGACGGATTGGGGCAGAAAGCACACCCTCTATTGCTCTCACTGTTGATCACATGAACGATGGGGAAGACAGCTAAAGAGACTTAAAGAAGCCCAGACAGTATTTTCTAGAGGTTTGAAATTCTGCGTAACAAAGACAGTCAAGTTATGGAGTAGTTTCATTTTAGACTGAGAACGGGATGAAGGGAAACTGGCCACAAGAAGGATGTTCAACTTGTATTAGAGAAATTTGAAAAATGAAGCAACTTGAAAATGAAGCACGTGCCTCTCAATGTTCTCCAAACAGAATCATCCACTCATTACCACAGTCAGGCAAAGCATGGACTCTGACCATTTCCCCAAGAGCCAAGTGCACAGAAGTGCTTATAAGGCGGCAAGAATATGAGGGGACTTCTTGGTAAGTACCACGGAGTGAAGCAAGAACACAATATATATCCTCTATAATACCAAACCAAAGAACACAAATTACTCAAAAATCGCCATTTAAATAGGCATCCAAGTGAAAAACCAAATGATTCTGCTGTGTCTCAAGGTGGCAGAGCACAGCTCCTGACCTGGTTTCTTACTCCCCAGAAACAAAACTAGGAAAAGCAGGAAATGACAATACACAGAGAAGTCTCGCTAATGCTCTCCGATCGAGGGCTAAGGAGACTTAGGTGGAGAGCAGTCAATTCTAAGAAGGTATACAGCAAATCCTGAATGCTAAAAGCCCATGGTATCCCAGGACCTCAAGAGAAGTAGGAAAGGTCACCAGAGTTAACTTCTTCCAGTGCACCTTGAAAACATGGAGGAGTGAGCAGAAATCCACAGGAACAGGATATACCTCTGACCTTGGAGCAAGTGTTACTATAGGCATTTCTCAAAAGAGAGAGAGAGAGAGAGAGCAGAGCCCACATTCACCAGCAAGAACTGTGCTCAGTGCCAGCTAAGCTATTTTTCTCACTGCTACAGCTGCATAGTTAGCACTGAGCAAAATGTACACAAAACTGTATCTAGCCCTTAAGTTGAAGCTGGAAACAAGGAAGACAAAGTGGACAAAGTTAAGGAGAAATATAATTGGGGAAAACTCACCTGTACTATATCTGAACAAACATAAGGCCTATATACAGTTGTTCACTTGAAGAATGAGAAAACTGAAAAAAGTGGTAGGAAACTAAATACATCAGAGTGATTAAAGGAAGAAATGGAAGGAAAAGAAAGGAAGAGAGGAGGAAAGAAAACTTAAGATTCCCGCGGGTTAATGGGTCACCAGAAACACTCAGATGCCTATTATTAACTTTGAATAAAAGATACACAACTCAACTGATTAGAACAAAAGACGTATCAGATGATAAAACGGATGCAAACACACGTGTCTTCCCTCTTCCTCACAAGATGTGCCCTGGTTTGATGGAGATGTGAGTCACACCAATGAGGAATCCACTGAGTGTCCTCGTTCTCGTGGTTAGATTCCTTACTAGTCTGGGCAACCACTTCCTTAAATTTTAGCTCAAATTCCTGTTCTCTGACAGAATGACTCTACTCTGTGATTAACACATGAACCAGCTCTTTGGTTTCAGGTATTGATATTCAATCCCAGGTATAGGTTTTTCCATTTAACACAGAGACAACAAAAGAAATTTCCAATAGCAGGCCAAGCCATGTTATACCATGTCGCAGCAGTGGCACACATAACAAACAAAACAATACCACCAACAAAAAACAATACGGGAGAAAACATTACCCAATTATCAATAGAAGATTTCTCATGAGCATTTTTATACTACTGAAAATCATTAATTAATAAGAAAATAAAATGGGGGGGCCTGGGTGACTCAGTTGGCGGAGCATCCGATCTTGATTTCGCCTCAGGACATGATCCCAGGGTCATGGGATCAAGCCCTGCATCGGGCTCTGCTTTGAATGCGAAGCCTGCTTAAGATTCTTTCTCTCTCCCTCTGCCCCTCTTCCCACTTGTGCACACTTTCTTTCTCTCTCTTCTCTCTCTCTCTAAAAGAGAGAGAAAATGACAGGATGAAATAAAAATAACTGTGGCACTAGAGAAACCGAGTAGCCCAGACCATTACAGATCTAATAAAGAAATCACACACAGCAAGAAACACAAGGGACTCAAAAAATATGGTAGAAGGGGGCGCCTGGGTGGCGCAGTCGGTTAAGCGTCCGACTTCAGCCAGGTCACGATCTCGCGGTCCGGGAGTTCGAGCCCCGCATCAGGCTCTGGGCTGATGGCTCAGAGCCTGGAGCCTGTTTCCGATTCTGTGTCTCCCTCTCTCTCTCTGCTCCTCCCTCGTTCATGCTCTGTCTCTCTCTGTCCCAAAAATAAATAAACGTTGAAAAAAAAAAAAAAAGAAAAAAAAATTGATATTTAAAAAAAAAAAAAATATGGTAGAGAGAAAACGTGCTATCACAGTCTTCACAGAAAACAATGAGAAATATATTAAATAGAAAGAAGATGATAAACATGGCAGACAGGCAAGTTTCATCCAACATAATAATACTTGGTTTCCCTGAGTAGAGAATCCAACAAATGGTACAGAAAAAAAGTATCCAGGGATACTGAGTAAAAAATCCTGAACGAAGAGAATCACTGAATTTTTACGTTGAAAGAGAATAACGTATCTGGGAGAAAGACACGTACACTCATTGAGAAAGATGCATAGATATAGACCCTTGTTAAGGTATAAAGTATAACAACAGATCCGTTAAGGTTTTAGGCAGAGAAATCCAATCGCCTATAAGCTGGAAGAAAAGTCAGCGTGGCTCAGTGTCCACCACAGCAACATGCAGGGAGGAAAGACAATGGAGCAATGTCATCAAGTTTTTGGTGACAAGAAACAGTGAGTCAAGAATAACACATCCAATAAAATTCTTGAACAAGGCTTATTCAACCACACATGATGTAAATTAAATCAAGAACTCAGAAAGGCAGGGAGAAGTTGTATAAAAAGATTAGCAAGGAGCGCTAAACCAATGAAATGATCATCTGGGACTGGAAGACTGAACAGCAAGGGAAATGACAGCTACAGGAGTGAATATAAAGCTTTTCATGTTCACCCACTCCCCCCCACTAAAATAAGTGAAAAGTAACATAATCACCAAAATCCGAAAGGTGAAGAGAGGTGAGACGAGACAGATGTCAAATAAGAGTGCCCAATCGCCTTATTCGTAAGCAATCATTTCACACTAAAATTGAAACGGGTAGGTTTAAAATTACTTCAACTTCTTCATGGATTTCATACACTTTTAGTTGTAATTTTAGCAGACTTCATTTACTTATTTCTATTCTTTTAAAATCAAATGGTATTTACAAACTTCAAAACAGTAAGTACAAAACAATTCCATTCTTGAAGAGTTCTTGCTGTCTCACGACGCATCCATTTTTCTATCTGCCTTTTGGCCTCTACATAGAGTTCTAGAAAAATAGGCAGAAAATATTAATTTTGCTTATTTCTGGGCAGTGACATTAGGGATGATTGATTGTTTTCTATATGGCTTAATTTTTTTTTTTTTAATAAGCAGGTAACATTTTTATAAAAACAAGAAATCCATTGCAAAGAAAAACAGTGCACTTCTTTTCCAATGTTTCTAAATAGTCTGCTGGAGAAAAGGAAAGTCTAGTGGCATTTTAAAGAAAATTCAAAATTAATTCACATTTCCCTGAAATAAGCATTTGGTGATAACAGAGAAACAATCATGGAGTAAGCTGAGCATGAACAATGGCACCTTTGATGAGCCAATAACTTTTTGAAGCCTGCGGGGAGCCCTCCTGATGAGTCAAAATTTCAGTGTGTTTTTTTCTTGATCTCAGCTTGCTGGGAAAGGAATCTCAGCCCTGCTGATCATGTTCTCGGTCTTGGAGTTCTGCACAAATTGTACTGTAGCCCATTCTGCCAACGAAGCAATCACCAAGACCAGCAGGGTGAGCTGGGCCTCTTCTCTGTAAAATAATTGAGTATGTGCTGGAGGAAGAAGAGCAGCAGTCAAGTCCCACGGCAGGTTCACAAGAGCTCACCTTGAGTCAGGGGAGGGAGAAAGGGCTGGGAACAGGACTGAGTAGGACTGTAGTAACGATAGTGCTTCTTTTATTCTTTCTTTCCAGCCTGTCCTGGTTATTCCAAATGTGTATGCAACCAGTACCTTGGCACCAGAGTCTTCCTCAGCTCCTCCCAGAGACGATGGCCACCTCGCTTATGCCATTTAAAACAAAAAAGAGCACCAGAAAATCTCATGGGGTTAAACTGCTCTGCAGGAACTTCTTAAGAAACTGTCCTCCACAGTCCACGATGATCGCTAATCTTTGAAGACTGTGTTTGAGATTCTTCTTACTTTGTCACTAATGATAACCGCATGTATTTCCCTGACACAGTTTCTTCCCACATACCACTACCACACTGGCAAAGGCGAAGGACCGGAAGACTGAATATGGCTCACAGTATTTTGTACATTCATATCATCAAACCCTGCCTCCTGGATAACTACAAAGCTTTGCTATTTACAGAGTATTTTCACGTACATCAAACTCATTTGCAGTGGGGTAACAGCAGGCCAAGGATGAAACACTGAGGGAGTTTTACTGGGGTTATGGCTATTTTGTCTCTGAAATGGGAAAACCCTGGGCATGTTTAAAAGCCAAGGGGAACAATCCGGCTAAGACAGAGAACTGTTTAATATATTAGAGAAAAGGGATGACTGTGGTATAAGCATCAAGAAACCAAAGTGTATATGGAAGGCATGGCCCAAGTGATGCAGAAGGGTGGTTTAGTCACATAACACAAAGAAAAGAAGATGTCATTGTTGCAGATATCAACAGGTTTGCAGGAATAGTACCCAGGATGTAGGAAACCCCATTACGATGCCTTGTGTCATCCCTGTCAAAGCAGAAGTGAGGGGGAGCCTGCGTGGCTCAGTTGGTTAAGCTTCCAAGATCTTGACTTCGGCTCAGGTCATGATCTTGCAGTTCACAGGTTCAAGCCCTGCATCAGGCTCTGTGCTGACAGCTCAGAGCCTGGAGCCTGCTTTGGATTCTGTGTCTCCCTCTCTCTCTCTGCCCCTCCCCTGCTCGTGGTCTTTCTCTCTTTCTCTCCCTCAAAAGTAAATTTAAAAAAATTTTTAAAAACTAAGCGGAAGTGAGGTGACACCCAAGGTCGGGGCCATGTGTAGAATCAGAATATTGAACAGAAAGGGTAATGTTGGAAAAGTCATGGAAATAGAGAATAAACTGATCAGAGAAACAGAAGAGGACTGCCAGGCTACACTGAAGGCACGTTTGAAGCGATGCTCACAAATTTATAACACAAACTGACTGCTTCAGCACGGCTTGGGCTGCTCAGATGCGAATCTAGATAAAGTGCTTATTTGGTTTCATCCAGGATTAGGGTTTTGCAAGACAGGATGACAAAATACCAAAGGGGCAGAAAAGCATGAGACACTGCCAAAAGTATTACTGAAATGATGGATTATGAAATCTAAACTAGGTTAAGAGGGGAAGAAAAAAAAAGGACAGATAGATTGATCAAAAATTGTTACCTGCCGTTCTCCAGTAGAGATGTTGTAAAGATCAAATAAGATATTATGTGAAAGCAGTTTGGAAACAGCAAAGTATTACCCATTTTTGAAGTTTCTGAATTATTTTTAAAAGCCAAGTGGGACAGGGGCACCTGGGTGGCTCAGTCAGTTAAGCGTCCGACTTGATTTCGGCTCAGGTCATGATCCCAGCACTGTGGGATCGAGCCCCAAGTCAGGTTCCATGCTCAGCATGGAGCCTGGCTGAGATTATTTCTCCCTCACACCACCCCTCTCTCCTGCTTGTGCTCTCTCTCTCTCTCTAAAAATAAATAAAATGAAAAAGAAAAAAATTAAAAGCCAAATGGGACAAAATATATAGGGAAAGAGGAGGCAAAGAAATTGAAATCAAGGAAGAGGCAGATGAGAAGAATGGAATTTTTGCATCTGGGAAAGCAGATGTATTATGTCAGGTGACTATTACACAGTTCCAAATTTCCTGGTCTGCCTGGGTCCCCACTATTTAGCATTTTGGGTAATCAGGAATGCTGTGCCCTTCACCATGAAGCTCAGCAGCTAAATGAAAATAAAGACACGCACCCCATGGTCGGAGGGCACTAAATAGCACCCAAAATGCCTGGAGGGGTAGCATACTGTAAATCTAGATAAACAACTTAAAAAGTAAGACTTGCTTTAGAGAAGAGAAGCATGTCTAGCAAAGCTGATTTTTGAAATAAATTTCCATCAAATAAATTTCCATATTCTTTTTCTCACTTTACTTTAGTAGCAGTAATAATGATAATAACAAATATTTAGACCACTCTATGTGCCAGGCACATCCCAAACACTTAGGAAAAATTAATATGTTTAATGCTCACAACACCCCTGTGAAATAGGTACTATAATCAGCATCATTTTCTGGGGGGACCTGGGTGGCTCAGTCAGTTAAGCATCCGACTTTGGTTCAGGTCATGATCACATGGCTCATGAGTTCGAGCCCCACATCAGGCTCTGTGATGACAGCTCAGAGCCTGGAGCCTGCTTTGGATTCTATGTCTCCCTCTCTCTCTGTCCCTCCCCCGCTCACACTCTGTCTCTCTCTCTCTCTCTCTAAAAAAGAAATAAATATTTAAAAAAAAATTTTTTTAAATAAGTATCATTTTCAGATGAGAAAACCACAGCAGAGGGATTAAAAACTTGCCATTAAGACATGCAGTTGGCAAGACGGGAGCATGAACCTGAACCCAGGCAGTCTGGCTCCCAAGTCCACACAGTGTTCCTAACCCCTATTCCCACTCTTCTTATGGTCTGGGGTAGAATGAGAGATTTGTAGCTCCAAAACAAACAAACAAACAATGTTTCTCTATAGTAAACTTCTAGTCCATGTTGAAGGAACCACCTGACTCCCATGGGAGAGAAGGAGTTTAGTAATATAATAAGTACGGTCATCACTTGCTTCCTGAAAGTTGCCCTGGTACCTTTTAATCACACCTAAGAGTCTCTTAACTCAATATCTAGCATGTCAATTGATTTGCCCCCTCTGATTCTTCTTTTGGCTGGATACTCAAAAGATGCTAACAGATACGGGTTTCAACCATCTAAAATTTGTATTTTAAGTTGAGGCCTTGGATAGTGTAAATAAAAAAAAAAAAGACTGCCTACTTCTGCAATTTTAATAATGCTGTAAGCATAACATTCTTATGTAGTAGATTGCTTTTAAACAAAGCAAACATGTTTTTACGCAATTGGGGAAAGCATTCAATCATTCATTCACTCATCATATAGCTAGTGAGTGCCTACTCTGTAGAGGGTGCTGTTCTGGGCGCTTGAGAAAAACAAAGCTTCTGTTCTTGGATTCCTATACCCTCTAAGTGTTAGACTTCCTATGGAAAATCAAATCAGTAAGTTTAAGTTTTAAATTGCCTCAGCTTTCTAAAAATGTAACTGTGATCTGAGACCTGAGAAAGTGACTGGAGTAGAAATATTATACCCTAGCATAGAAGTCATATGCCTATTACTAATACTAAATCACTATTGGAAGGCCTTATGGATCATGCTGGATGGATCCATGATGATCTATGGGTCATCATGTTCGTTCTGGATCTTCTAAAAACATATTCATTTCTTCATTCATTTGCTCAAAAAAACACATTACTACTTTGTGACCAAACACCGTTCTAGGCGATTACACAAAGTTAAGGTTTTACATACCTTATATTTGGGGTAATATAAAATGGGGTAGAGCAGGCCTTATCTAAATGCCAGTATATACAGGCTTTTTTCATGTGCAAGGAAAAAATGCTGGGTTTGAGTACAAGACTTCACTCAAGAAACGTAAGTGAAGCTACACGAGGAGAACCCACACGTACCATATATTTATTGTCTTCCTGCCTCAGAACAACACAGGTTATGATTAGATCTCTAGGGCTCCAGGGTGTCTACCAATTCTAAATTCTAAGACTTCAAGGTCAAGATCTCAGCATGAGATACATGGGTTCACAGTCCTCCTTCCAGAATCCACACATACATCACGGATACGTACATATCATTGATTCATTCAAGGCCTACACAACAATTCCGAAAGCTCTTTTCTCCACAGTGTGTTTTGCATTTGTTACATCCCTCTAAAATTCAACCGGTCACAACTGTCCCCTACTCCCATGGAGCAGATGAAGCTATCCTAAACCTGGATGACCAGGAGGGAGATGCCCAGGATCCCTAGGCATCTATTTGGAGAAGCGGTTCGAATCGGGGGAAAGATCCTACAGGAAGTTTTGAGCTCAAGTATCTGAAGCTGGAGCTCGAAGAGCAGGAAGCGGAGTCCAGCTGCCAGCCTGGCCTCCATGACCGTGACCATGACCGGGGTTGAGCTCCATGGGGAAAGCTGTGTTCTCATTTGCACATGGACTATACCCAGGCTCCTGCTCTGTGAAGAGGACTGAAGACAATGCAAGGCTGCTGGGCCCCCCAGGCTCGAGAGCTTGGGAAGCAGTAGGGGACAGCACCTGGGGCAGAGCTACCTCCTCACAAAAAGCCCCTGCAATGGGGCGCCTGGGTGGCTCAGTCGGTTGAGCATCCGACTTTGGCTCAGATCATGATCTCGTGGTCTGTGGGTCCGAGCCCCGCATTGGGCTCCGTGCTGACAGCGCAGAGCCTGGAGCCTGCTTCAGATTCTGCGGCTCCCTCTCTCTCTGCCCCTCCCCCACTCGTTCTCTCTCTCTCTCTCTCTCTCTCTCTCTGTCAAAAATAAACATTTAAAAAAATTGTTTTTTAAAAAACAGACAAACAAAAGGCACCTGCAAGCCCTGAAGGAAAGTGGCTGCTGTGCTCACAACAGGGTGCAAACTCTGCGGACTCCCAAAAGTACTGTGGAAGTGGGGATCTTCAGAGAACTGAGGTGTGCTTGAGTGGATAGGGGGGCAAGGCGGGCGGATGTGGCCACACCACCAGTGTGTCCTAATTCCCACAGGCTGGAGAGGACTCGGACATTAGCATTTTCCTAAAACTGGCTCATTTCTGCCTTTCTCCCTTCATTTTGCAATTAAAACAAACAGAGCCTTCCTCTCCCCCAGACTATTCTCTACAAGGCAATTTATATTTTTGAAGTATTCCCTCTTCTCCCCAAGCCCACCTCTTCTCTGCTCTCCAGTTCCCTGACTTCACTCTAAAAACGGACAGCCATCAAAAATAAATAAAAAC